TCCTTCCCCTCCCCCTTTCAACCCCTTGGGGCCCGGGCCCGGCAGCAGCATGAGGAGGGGGGAAAGGGGCCCAAAGGCAGATTTTGGGCCTGGCAGCAGCAAAGGGAGGCCCGTAATCTGCCAGCCCAAAAAAAAACCCTAAAGGGGGGCCAAAAAATTGGAACCAAAACAAACCCCGGGTAACAGGGGGTGGGTGAGGAGGGAAACCCCTTAAAGGTGGGCACCAAAAAGGGGCCCCCCGGGGGGTTTTGGGCGAAAGGAGAAAAGGGCCCCCCGGCCCCAATTTTTTGGGAAAAGGGGCCTTTTTTTCCCCCCGGGGGGAAAACCCATGGAAAAAAAGGAAACCCCCCTTTTGGACTTTCTCCCCCGGCCCCCGGCCATGAGGGGGGGGCGGGAATTGGGGGCCCCCATTTGGCCCCGATTAAAGGGGGGCCCTGGGAAAAGAGCCTAAAGGGGAAGGGGGCCCGGAATTCCCGGGGGCCAAACAAACCCAAAACCCCAATTTAAAAAAAAAATGGAACCACCAGCAGTGAGAGGAGACCCGAAAGTGGCCCCAAATTTGGGGATGGGGACAACTGGGGGGGGGACCCTGGCCCAGGGAGCAGATGAGGGGCGGTACAGGGGGCCCATGGCAGATAAGGGGCCTGGCAGCAGCTATGGGAGGCCCGTAATCTGCCCGCACCCCTATGACAAAAAATGGAAACACACAGCAGTGTGTGAGGAGACCTGAAAGTGGCACATGGCAAGAGTGTGGCGATGAGACAACACCACCGACTGTTTTGCTCGCGTGCCAAGCTGCCACCCTCTTCCCTCCTGATGATGCGGAAAGCAATAGCCTGATGACGACGAGGCTTGCCAAATGCGATCAGCCACATCCATCATCAATTTTGGTCTCCCGACCTCACTCGACTAGGGTGGGGGCGGGGCGGGCCGGCGAGGCGGGGGGCATGCGTGTGGGTCAGGAGACAGACCTGTCTCTAGACCGGCTAACCGAGCCACTCTCCCTCGCCACTACTTCTTCGCCTGGCTGCTGAAGAGGCGGATGTCTCCCCCCGTTCCATGACCGTCCCTCTGTTAGCTACTTCCTCACGTCACTGTGTACTGGATGACACCGGGCGCACTGGCCTCTGGCTGCGAATAGTGCTGCCTCGACCCCCTGTCCTCTGCTGCCACGTCTGCTCTCTCCTAAAACATTTGCCTCCTCTGCCACTCCACTCAGCATGTTGTCTGACATACTTACTATTAATTCAACGATTCTGTGTCCCTGAGTAACAATTCTGTGTCTGTCCCCTGAGTAACAATTCTGTGTCCCTGAGTAAACGTTTCCCTGTGGCCCTAAGTAACAGTTTCTAGTGGCCCTCAGTAACATTTCTGTGTCCCTCAGTAACAATTCTGTGTCTGTCCCTCAGTAACAATTCTGTGTCCCTCAGTAACAATTTCTGTGTCTGTCCCTCGAGTAACAATTCTCTGTGTCTGTCCCTGAGTAACAATTCTGTGTCCTGTCCCTGAGTAACAATTCTGTGTCCCTCAAGTAACATTTCTGTGGCCTGAAGTAACCAATGTTTCTGTGGCTGTCCCTAAGTAACGTTCTGTGGCCCTACAGTTAACAACGTCTGTGGCCCTAAGTAACGTTTCTGTGGCCCTAATAACGTTTCTGGTGGCCCTCAGTAAACGTTTCTGTGGCCCTAAGTAACGTTCTGTGGCCCCTCAGTAACGGTTCTGTGTCTGTCCCTCAGTAACGGTTCTGTGGTCCCTCAATAACAATTCTGTGTCCATGGTCCCTAAGTAACAATTCTGTGTCTGCCCCTAAGGTAACGTTCTGTGGCCCTAAGTAACGTTTCTGTGGCCCAAAGTAACGTTTTCTGTGGCCCCTACAGTAACGGTTTCCTGTGGTCCCTCAGTAACGGTTCCTGTGTCCCTTCAGTTAACGGTTCTGTGTCTGTCCCTCAATAACAATTCTGTGTCTGTCCCTAAGTAACAATTCTGTGGCCCTAAGTAACGTTTCCTGTGCCCTCAGTAACAATTCCTGTCTGTCCCCTGACAGTAACAATTCTGTGTCCCTCAGTAACGATTCTCTGTGGCCCTAAGTAACGTTTCTGGATGGCCCTAATAACGTTCTCTGGTGGCCCTAAAGATAACGTTCTCTTTCCCTGTGGACCCTAAGTAACGTTTGCCTCAGTTGAATGTGGCCAATGAGGAAATTCTTAAAATGGCCCACCGCGCATTTATACCGTTTCAGTGGCTGCCCTAATTGTAACGTTTCTGTCATGGCCCATAAGTAACGTTTCTGTGGCCCTAAGAACATAACGTTTCTGTCCGCCCCATTTAAGTAACGAGTAAGAATTCTGTGCCCCTAATGTAACGATGTTCTATGTGGCCCTAAGTAACGATTCTGTGGCCCTCAGTAACGACGGTTCAGAACATTCTGTGTCCCTCAGTAACTGTTCTGTGTCCCTCAATAACAATTCTGTGTCTGTCCCTAAGTAACAATTCTGTGTGCCCTAAGTAACGTTTCTGTGGCCCTAAGTAACGATTTCTGTGGCCCAAATAACGTTTCTGTGGCCCTAAGTAACGTTTCTGTGGCCCTCATAACGGTATCTGTTGTCCCCCTCTAGAATAACGGTTCTGTGTCCCTCAAAAACAATTCTGTGTCTGTCCCTAATTAACAATTCTGTGGCCCTAAGTAACGAGGTTCTGTGGCCCCTCAGTAAACAATTCTGTGTCCCCTCAGTAACAATTTTTCTGTGGTCTGTCCCTAAGTAACGTTTTCTGTGGCCCTCAAGTAACGTTTCTGTGGCCCTAAGTAACGTTTCTGTGGGCCCTAAGTAACGTTTCTGTGGCCCTCAAATAACGTTCTGTCTAATACAATGGGCCCTAAGTTGTAACGTTTCTGTGGCCCTAAGTAACGTTACCTTCTGTGGCCCTAAGTAACTTTCTGTGGCCCTAAGTAACGTTTCTTCTGTAGGCCCTGAAGTAACGTTACTGTCAGAGTGGCCCTAAGTAACGTTTCTGTTGGCCCTAAGGCCCTAAGTAACGATTCTGTGGCCCTAACTAACGTTTCCATCTGTCCCTAACTCTCTCCCTGCATACAGCCCAGGTCTGCCTCTGTTGAATGACTGGAGGCAAATGGAGAATTCTAAAATGTGCCGCCATTTATAAGCTCGACCATTACACTGTTGCTGGCTGGCTGGACTGCTGATTGCTAATGCGATCACATGTCATGAAATGAATGCATTATGGGGTCAGTGCGCCTTGTCTGCGCGCCTTCCCAGACATCCCCGCTCCGTCGCCGCACATGTCGCCGCCATTTAAGGAAAAATTTCGATTCGCGCGCGCATCCGAAGTCTGCTTATTTTCGGATTCAACAGCGAATCGAAATTTCCTAATATTCGAAAAAACGAATTCCACTCTCGCCTACTTCGATTCCGCTCATCTCTAGACAGGAATCATCAGCATTTTGTTATTTGTAACGGAGGTACTGAAAAGTGAGGAGAGGAGCCAGTCGTAGAGAGCCGTAAAGAACAGAAAGGTAGAGTGTTGGGAGGCAGGGATGGCAAGGATCAAAATCAAAGTGTTCACTATCAGGACCCCAATGGGTGTGACCCAGTGACCTGCAGCCTGTAATTAATACTTAAACAAACCACTACATTGACATGGGTTATGAGACACCAACTGGATTCATTCTCTGCGTGTATGTGAATGGTTAGTAAAGAACCAAAATTTTTTTTTGTATTTGTTTCCTCTCCTTTTTTTTTTCTCCTCAAGTATATTGTCTGTTTTTTCTGTTATGAAGTGTGTTCAGGAGATAGGATATACAGTATTTAACCTCTTTCACGTCGACAGTACTCAAAAATGCGGTCTCTCGTCGTGGCTGGGCCTTGACGCAGAGGCCGCATATTTGTGTACCATTTGTAAACAAACGTGCTGAGAGCGCGTGCTCTGCGTGCTCCCAGCACATGTCTGCGTCCCATGGAAAGGTCCTGAACTCTCCTTGATATCGGGACCTTTCCAATCATGTGACAGCCAATAACTAATTGGCTGTCACACAACCATAAACCCCACCTCACTTCCTGGCGTCAGAAACCCCTTAAAGGGCCAGGAGGCTCCGGTGTGAAGGGGTTAAAAACCTTTGTCATGTTGCAGTAAAGAAAACAGTGACTCGTGTGTAGACCAGCATTTAAAGTGGTTGTAAACCTCAGACATGAAATATGAACAAAGCATATCCCTCTATAATGTGTCTCAATTGAAAGCACTAAGGGGTTTATTTTAATAAAACTGCATGGTGAAAAATCTGTCCCAGCTCTGCATGGAAATCCAATCTGCTTCCATGTTTTATTGTCAAAGCCCAATTGAACAAGCAGAAGTTAGATGCTGATTGGCTACAATGTACAGCTGCACCAGATTTTGCACTCTCCGTTTTTGTAAATCTACCCCCTAAGTATCATTTCTGTCTGCTGCTTTATTCCTCTATCTGCACGAGTCACTTCAGACACCTAGAAAAAAAAAGGTGACGGGTCTGAGCTCCAGCACACAGCCTGTGATTGACGGCCTTAGCTATGTTCCTGTGAGTTGTGTGAAGGAGGTTGCGTCCCTTCACTCCAATCAGCTCTCAGAGTACTCCTCGTTGAGCTCTGCAGTGTGTAATTTCATCTTTCTGCCACCTGTTTTTTGAAAGCTCAGACAACCTTCTTAAATTCTGGACTTTGAACGTATGTAGAGAAGAGAAGATTACAGATAAACAGGTACACCATAAGTTGGAGGATTTGTTTCATTTGTGGGTGTCACCTGAGGCCAGTCACTTGTGCATAGGTAAGGGTTTACAACCACTCTAATGTGCATTCTATAAAGAAAACTGCACATATGTTATTCTAATTCCCAGACCCCAAATGCAGGCAGGCCTCGCACCTAAGTTAACTGCATTAGTTCTGAGGTTTCTGACCAATATCAAATCTTTTTAATGCTGTCCTACTCCAGATATTTACCATTTTGTGTATTTTCAGTTTGTAGAGATAAAAGGGAGCGTGTTCAAGAAATTTGAAAAGAACAATCTCTTCCAAATGTCAAATAGTGGTACGTATCTTTTTCCCTTTCTATGTATACAAAACCCTAATTGGTGTGGCCTTGGTAGTAAATGCATTCAGTGCATCTCCACCTGCCTATCAGTATCTGTAATATGGTGGTTTACCATTATCATTGAAAGTTAAAAAAAAAAAAAAATCCCAACGTTTGGGTTGTCCCCAGAAAAGTAATAGAGGGGAAATCTTCCAATGGCGACACTAGTTCTGGTGATCTGGGGATCCCCGAGGAATTCCATTAATTTGCAGTGATTTCCTCTTACTTCCAGTTTGACTATGGGACAGGAAGTGAAGGGAAATCCCCAATGGGACACAGATGACGAAAAAAAAAAATCACAGGTTCTAACCCTGCCTTACTCTATTGAAAATGGGGGGAAAAAAAAAGTTTTGCCTATAGTTCTATGTACTAATGTACTTGAGGCTAACTGTTGAGCTGAAAGCTGAGTTGCTGTAAGATACTATACATGGTTCATTTTTGGTCAAAACTCATGGTTTGGATATGTTGAGGGAGGCATATGGGGAGATGATGAATAGGTTCTTGCCCATTTGGTTACATGTTACTTTTATATATCACTTTAATAAACTCGGAATAAGAATTCAAAGATCCCATAGCTTTTTTTTTTTTTTTTTTTCTTCTTCTTCTTTTAACCACCTTTTACTGAGGTGGGAAAGTTTGTGCTGCTTACACCTGTATACTGCTATAACAAGGGGATGAACATCCACAGCGGTGTACAATCTGAGCTTTGAAAGCTGTATGTGCCAATGATTTCACTGTAGGTGTAGATAACTTAGATACTTGCAGTATATTAAGTTAGCTATTTGAACCCTTCCCAGTTGGACATGGCTCAAACACCTGCCTGAATACTCCATTATGTCTTTTACATGTCATTATTCTTCAATATGTTCCTTCAAATAAATCCTTTCTTTTATTAATTTCGAAGTTTAGAGATTTTTTTTAATATCGGCCCTGGGTATGGTACTTACATGAATGACATTTTGTCCCGTGTGCTGGGGCGGCTGTGTTCCTTGAAATCTTCATTCCTCTGCACCCAGATACCCCTGCAAATGTGATTTTTCTCATGCTGCGGGGGAAAAAGTGCCAAACTAAGTAACACACAAACATGCCACCTAAGCCCCCGTTCACACCAATGTGATTTGTCATGTAATTTGACAGTTTAGAAACGCATGACAAGTCTCACCCCATTTGTACCTATGGAACAGTTCAAATTGGTGCACCACCGATTATGAAAAAAGGTTCCTGCGCTATTTTCAGGGATTTCATGTGCGACTTGCATAGACATCTATGCATGAAGTCACACAGATACAGTGCGTTGAAAAAGTATTCATACCCCTTGAAATTTTTCACATTTTGTTACGTTTCAACCAAAAACATAAATGTATTTTATTAGGATTTTGTGTGATACACCAACACACAGTGGCACGTAATTGGAAGGAAATGATAAAAAGTTTTCAAAATGTTTTACAAATATCTGAAAAGTGTGGCGTGCATTTGTATTCAGCCCCCCGAGTCAATACTTTCTAGAACCACCTTTCACTGCAATTACAGCTGCAAGTCTTTGTGGGGATGTCTCCCCAGCTTTGCACATCTAGAGTGAAATTTTTGCCCATTTTTCTTTGCAGAGTAGCTCAAGCTCTGTCAGATTGGATGGAGAGCTTCTGTGAACAGCAATTTTCAAGTCTTGCCATAGATTCACAATTGAATTTTGGTCTGTACTTTGACTGGGCCATTGTAACACATGAATATGCTTTGATTTAAACCATTCCATTGTATCTCTGGCTGCATGTTTAGGGTCATTGTCCTGCTGGAAGGTTAATCTTCACCCCATTCTTAAGTCTATTGCAGACTCGTAACAGGTTTTCTTCTAAGATTGCCCTGTATTTGGCTCCATCCATCTTCCTATCAACTCTGACCAGCTTCCCTGTCCTTGCTGAAGAAAAGCATCCCCACAACATGATGCGGCCACCACCATGTTTCACAGTGGGGATGGTGTGTTCAGGGTGATTGTGCAATGTTAGTTTTCCACCACATATAGCATTTTGCTTTTAGGCCAAAAAGTTAAATTTTTGTCATGTGACCAGAACACCTTCTTGCACATGTTTGCTGTGTCCCCCACATGGCTTCTTGCAAACTGCAAAAGGGACTTCTTATAGCTTTCTTTCAACAATGGATTTCTTCTTGCCACTCTTCCAAAAAGGCCAGAATTATGGAGTGCATGACTAATAGTTGTCCTGTGGAAAGATTCTCCCTCCTGAGCTGTGGATCTCTTCAGTTCCTCCAGAGTTACCATGGGCCTCTTCGGTGCTTCTGTGATTAATGTTCTCCTTGCCTGGCCTATCAGTTTAGGTGGACGGCCATGTCTTGGTAGGTTTGCAGTTGTGCCATACTCTTTTTCCATTTTCGGATGTTGGATTGAACAGTCCTCTGAGAGGTTCTAAGCTTGGGATATTTTTTTATAACCTAACCCTGCTTTAAACTTTCCACAACTTTATCCCTGCCCTGTCTGGGTTGTTCTTTTGTCTTCATGATGCTGTTTGTTCACTAATGTTCTCTAACAATCCTCTGAGGGCTTCACAGAACAGCTGTATTTATACTGAGATTAAATTATACACAGGTGGACTCTATTTACTAATTAGGTGACTTCTGAAGGCAGTTGGTTCTAGTAGATTTTAGTTAGGGGTATCGGAGTAAAGGGGTCTGAATACAAATGCACGCCACACTTTTTAGATATTTATTTGTAAAAAAGTTTGAAAACTATCATTTCCCTTTCATTTCACTATTATATGCCACTTTGTGTTGGTCTATCACATAAAAGCCCAATAAAATACATTTACATTTTTGGTTTTAACATAACAAAATATGGAAAATTTCAAGGGGTATTAATACTTTTTCAAGGCACTGTATCAGACAAGCTGCACATGAAATCACACTGACCAGCAGCTCTGAAATCGCACTACTTCAAATAAAGTAGCTCAATTTCAAAGCCACTTTCAGTATGAACCAGGACTAAGATACATTTCAGTGGTCCAGAATTAACCCCTATTTCTGTAAATAGAAAATATAGCAACAACAAAAATATCCGTTTTACACTTGGCAATTCCTTTTTCACTACCCTTCACCCAAGATTGAAGTTTCTTGCCCAGATCTTCCCACACACGATTATCTTAATCTTCTTTCAGTTGAGCCAAGTAGTCGATCTGGTATATTAAGCCCATTGGTGCCCACCCAAACCTTGGAGTTTAGGGTGGTACTACCCTTAAATAAAGGTGCTGATGAATTTCTATGGTATCAATTTTGGGAGCTTTCTATGCCAATGCTTTATCAGTAATGAAATAATGAGCAGTACAAAGTGTACAGGACACAAAACATCAAATAAATTAATGGAATGCAGAGCAGTTATCTGCCCACCTGCTGTAATTTAATAGGTAGATGGAGACGCACCCACTATGAAGAGAAATATACAAATTTCATGATCATTTGTTTATCTGTAACTAGATAAATACTTTTTGGCAATGTGCAGTAAACCATAGCAAGTTGATTTTATTTTACTGTGGTTCTGTCAGTGAAATTTTAAATTTTGTATGGAGAAAAAATATAGTCACAATCCCATACCAGCAAGGAATGCTTTAGGTGCACCCTGGCTCTTACATTGGTGATCTGCATGCGTCCCTTTACATAGATTGTTAGTATTGCCTGCCCCCACTCCCTATTCATAAGTGGTCACTGCCATTACATTGGGGGTCAGTGTGACCCCTTTCATTGGTGGCCAGTGACATTTGTCACTCAACTATTAGTGGTCAGTGGATGTAGAGTATATATTTACGTGAAAATCTGTGTGTCCCATGATGCTTCCTCCAAGGTCCTGGGTCTCCAGTAGAGTGACCTCAGGCTAGAATTATGTAGCTGATTGGGCTGAATATTGTCCAATATTCCTTGCATAAAACAAAGCAAATCACTCAGTCAACCACAAACTCTTAGATCTCACTAGACCCGGGACATGGGCCCCCAGTGTCAAGGTCTATTGATGCCTATGAGGGGCAATATAACCACTGGAACATTTATTGCAATGACAACTGTCAGATGTGTCTACAGGAAATCTCATTAATGGGATAGGGGAAAAAAACAGACTAGCTTTAAACTTTGCCTATGGTATACAAAACTTAGAAAATGTGCCAAGAATTTTGGCTTCAGATATAAATAATGTGGTTCAGTTTACTATTTGTAGATGAAAACTATGTCTCCTTTTATATATAAATGGTTTTGATTCCTGTAGAGTTTGTCATACAGTGGGGCAAAAAAGTATTGTCAGCCACCAATTGTGCAAGTTCTCCCACTTAAAAAGATGAGAGGCCTGTAATTGGCATCATAGGTAGACCTCAACTATGAGAGACAAAATGAGAAAAAAAATCCGGACAATCACATTGGCTGATTTGGAAAGAATTTATTTGCAAATTATGGTGGAAAATAAGTATTTGGTCACCTACAAACAAGCAAGATTTCTGGTTCTCACAGACCTGTACCTTCTTCTTTAAGAGGCTCCTCTGTCCTGCACTCATTACCTGTATCAATGGCACCTGTTTGAACTTGTTATCAGTATAAAAGACACCTGTCCACAACCTCAAACAGTCACACGTCAAACTCCACTATGGTGAAGACTAAAGAGCTGTCGAAGGACACCAGAAACAAAATTGTAGACCTACACCAGGCTGGGAAGACTGAATCTGCAATAGCAAGCAGCTTGGTGTGAACAAATCAACTGTGGGAGCAATAACTAGAAAATGGAAGACATACAAGACCACTGATAATCTCCCTCGATCTGGGGATCCACGCAAGATCTCACCCCGTGGGGTCAAAATGATCACAAGAACGGTGAGCAAAAATCCCAGGACCACACGGGGGGGATCTAGTGAATGACCTGCAGAGAGCTGGGACCAACGTAACAAAGGCTACCATCAGTAACACACTACGCCGCCAGGGACTCAGATCCTGCAGTGCCAGACGTGTCCCCCTGCTTAAGCCATACATGTCCGGGCCCGTCTGAAGTTTGCTAGAGAGCATTTGGATGATCCAGAAGAGGATTGGGAGAATGTCATATGGTCAGATGAAACCCAAATAGAACTGTTTGGTAGAAACACAACTCGTCGTGTTTGGAGAAGAGAGAATGCTGAGTTGCATCCAAAGAACACCATACCTACTGTGAAGCATGGGGGTGGCAGCATCATGCTTTGGGGCTGTTTCTTCGCAAAGGGACCAGGACGACCATCCATGTACAGGACAGAATGAATGGGGCCATGTATCGTGAGATTTTGAGTGCAAACCTCCTTCCATCAGCAAGGGCATTGAAGATGAAACGTGGCTGGGTCTTCCAACATGACAATGATCCCAAACATACCGCCTGGGCAACGAAGGAGTGGCTTCCTAAGAAGCATTTCAAGGTCCTGGAGTGGTCTAGCCAGTCTCCAGATCTCAACCCCATAGAAAACCTTTGGAGGGATTTGAAAGTCCGTGTTTCCCAGCGACAGCCCCAAAACATCATTGCTCTAGAGGAGATCTGCATGGAGGAATGGGCCAACATACCAGCAACAGTGTGTGCCAAACTTGTGAAGACTTACAGGAAATGTTTGGCCTCTGTCATTGCCAACAAAGGATATATAACAAAGTATTGAGATGAAGTTTTGATATTGACCAAATACTTATTTTCCACCATAATTTGCAAATAAATTCTTTCCAAATCAGCCAATGTGATTGTCTGGATTTTTTTTCTCATTTTGTCTCTCATAGTTGAGGTCTACCTATGATGCCAATTACAGGCCTCTCTCATCTTTTTAAGTGGGAGAACTTGCACAATTGGTGGCTGACTAAATACTTTTTTGCCCCATTGTATGAATTACTACATACATAGTAGTAATTATCATGTTTAAGAAATATTGATTCACAAAAGTTTTTGGTAGCACCTTCCTATGTCTATATGTCTATGCCTATTTATAGGTGACTTTTAACCACCATTTTTTTTTCCTAACAGATATAAAAGAAAGATTCACAAACTATGTGCTACTACTGATTGTATGTTTGCGAAACATGGAGCAGTTCTCATGGAATCCAGGTCATTGTCTCATTTTTGTTAAATTCTTACCTTAATATTAAATTAATTTAATGCATGTGGTTCAGAGATTAAATCATGTATTATTCAGCATAGAAAGACATGCAAATGCACTCACTGGCCACTTTATTAGGGACACCTTGCTTGTACCACTTTGGACCCCCTTTTGCCTTTAATTCTTTGTGGCATAGATTCAACAAGGTGTTGGAAAAATTTTCAGAGATTTCGGTCTATATTGACATGATAGGATCATACAGTTGCTGCAGATTTGTCAGCTGCACATTCATGATGCGAATCTCATGTTCCCCCACATCCCTAAGGTGCTCTATTGGATGGAGATCTGGTGACTGTGGAAGCTATTGGAGTACAGTGAACCTGTTGTCATGTTCAAGAAACCAGTTTTGAGTTGATATGAACTTTGTGACATGGTGCATTATCCTGCTGGAAGTAGCCATCAGAAGATAGGTGCACTGTAGTTAAAGGGATGGACATGGTCAGCAACAATACTCAGGTAGGCCGTGGAGTTTAATCAATGCTCATTTGGTACGAAGGGGCCCAAAGTGTGCCAAGACAATATCCCCCACACCATTACACCACCACCAGCCTGAACCATTGATACAAGGCAGGATGGATACATCCTTTCATGTTTTTATGCCAAATTCTGATCCTACCATCTGAATGTTGCAGCTGAAATCAGGACTAATCAGACCAGGCAACGTTTTTCCAATCTTCTATTGTCCAATTTTGGTGAGCCTGTGTGAATTGTAGCCTCTGTTTCCTATTCTTAGCTGACAGAAGTGGAACTCGGTGTGGCCTACTGCTGTAGCCCATCTGCTTCAAGGTTCAACGTGTTGTGTATTCAGAAATGGTATTCTGCATACCTTGGTTGTAACGAGTGGTTATTTGAGTTACTGTTGCCTTTCTATAATCTTAAACCAGTCTGCCTCTTCTCCTCTGACCTAAAGGCATTTTCGTCCTCCCAACTGCCACTCACTGGATATTTTTTTTTTTCGGACTATTCTCTGTAAGCCCTAGAGAAGGTTTTGCAGGAAAATCCCAGTAGATCAGCAGTGTTTGAAAAACTTAGGTCAGCCTATCTGGCACCAACAACCATGCCACGTTCAAAGTCACTTAAATCCCCTTTCTTCCCCATTCTGATGCTTGGTTTGAACTTCAGCATGTTGTCTTTACCACATCTAGATGCCAAAATGCATTGAGTTGCTGCTATGTGATTGGCTGGTTAGCAATTTGTGTTACCAAGCAATTGAACAGGTGTACCTAATAAAGTGGCTGGTGAGTGTATGTTCTCTGTTTAGACTCATATTTATACAGGTTAAATGCCCATCATGTGATATTTTCCATTTAAATAGAAGGTCATGTCCTTTTGTGGGCGGGGATAAAACCTTGAGGGACCAAGATTTTACAAACATACCTATACTGGATATCACAGGTTTATGCAGTTTTGATGTTTTCTGTTAAAGGATAAGTTTACCTTTCCACAGAGAATAATAAGTGCACATTTTTTTTTTCAGGTAGAAAAAATTGTGTATTTATTATTTTTTTTTGTGTTAGAAGCCTGTAAAGCATTGCACCAGCAATCTGCAGATTTCTGATGCTATGCAGGTCTCCTTCACTCTGTCAGTGTGTCTGCTTGCTCATACATGCCCTAAGGGCAAGCAGATACTTGCTGATAGGAAGACTCAATAAACTACCACAGTGCTCACAGTGCTTGTAGTACATTCATTTACAGAGCACTGTGAATGAATGAATGATACAGCCTTGTGCGCGGAGCCCCGCATGGCTGCACTGTTTTTTAAAAGTGACAGCACAGGGAACTTCTGTCACAAGGGGGGGGGGCAGCGCCTGCAAAATTGGGAACATGTTCCACCCTAAAAACGGGTGGAACATGTAACATTTTACCAGAAGTGAACTTGACCTTTAACCACTTGCCTACCAGGCACTTATACCCCTTTATTTACCAGGCCAATTTTCAGCTTTCAGCGCTGCCGCACTTTGATTGACAATTGCGCGGTCATGCAACATTGTACCCATATGAAATTTTGATCATTTTTTTCTCACAAATAGACCTTTCTTTTGAAAAATTTTATAATAGAAACAAAGAAACTTTTTTTTTTTTTCAAATTTTTTGCAAACAGGTATTTTTTCTCCTTCACTGATGTGCGTTGATGAGGCGGCACTGATGGGCACTGATAGGCGGCACTGATGGGCACTGATAGGCGGCACTGATGGGCACTGATAGGCGGCACTGATGGGCACTGATAGGCGGCACTGATGGGCACTGATAGGCGGCACTGATGGGCACTGATAGGCGGCACTGATGGGCAGTGATAGGCGGCACTGATGGGCACTGATAGGCGGCACTGATGGGCAGTACTAATGAGATGGCACGGATAGGCAGCACTAATATGCAGCACTAATATGCAGCACTGATAGGCAGCACTGATAGGCAGCACTGATAGGCAACACTGATAGGCAGCACTGATAGGCAGCACTGATAGGTGACACTGATAGGCAGCACTGATAGGTGACACTGATAGGCAGCACTGATAGGCAGCACTGATAGGTGACACTGATAGGCAGCACTGATAGGCAGCACTGATAGGCGACACTGATAGGCGACACTGATAGGCGACACTGATAGGCGACACTGATAGGCAGCACTGATAGGCGACACTGATAGGCGACACTGATAGGCAGCACTGATAGGCGACACTGATAGGCGACACTGATAGGCGACACTGATAGGCGACACTGATAGGCAGCACTGATAGGCGACACTGATAGGCAGCACTGATAGGCAGCACTGATAGGTGACACTGATAGGCAGCACTGATAGGCAGCACTGATAGGCGACACTGATAGGCGACACTGATAGGCGACACTGATAGGCAGCACTGATAGGCAGCACTGATAGGCAGCACTGATAGGCAGCACTGATAGGCGACACTGATAGGCGACACTGATAGGCGACACTGATAGGCGACACTGATAGGCGACACTGATAGGCAGCACTGATAGGCGACACTGATAGGCAGCACTGATAGGCGACACTGATAGGCGGCACTGATAGGCGGCACTGATAGGCGGCACTGATAGGCAGCACTGATAGGCGACACTGATAGGCGACACTGATAGGCAGCACTGATAGGCGACACTGATAGGCAGCACTGATAGGCGACACTGATAGGCAGCACTGATAGGCGACACTGATAGGCAGCACTGATAGGCGACACTGATAGGCAGCACTGATAGGCGACACTGATAGGCAGCACTGATAGGCGACACTGATAGGCAGCACTGATAGGCGACACTGATAGGCAGCACTGATAGGCGACACTGATAGGCAGCACTGATAGCACTGATAGGCACACTGATAGGCGACACTGATAGGCAGCACTGATAGGCGACACTGATAGGCAGCACTGATAGGCGACACTGATAGGCAGCACTGATAGGCGACACTGATAGGCAGCACTGATAGGCGACACTGATAGGCAGCACTGATAGGCAGCACTGATAGGCGACACTGATAGGCAGCACTGATAGGCGACACTGATAGGCAGCACTGATAGGCGACACTGATAGGCAGCACTGATAGGCGACACTGATAGGCAGCACTGATAGGCGACACTGATAGGCAGCACTGATAGGCGACACTGATAGGCAGCACTGATAGGCAGCACTGATAGGCGACACTGATAGGCAGCACTGATAGGCGACACTGATAGGCAGCACTGATAGGCGACACTGATAGGCAGCACTGATAGGCGACACTGATAGGCAGCACTGATAGGCGACACTGATAGGCAGCACTGATAGGCGACACTGATAGGCAGCACTGATAGGCGACACTGATAGGCAGCACTGATAGGCGACACTGATAGGCAGCACTGATAGGCGACACTGATAGGCACACTGATAGGCGACACTGATAGGCAGCACTGATAGGCGACACTGATAGGCACTGAGCACTGATAGGCAGCACTGATAGGCGACACTGATAGGCAGCACTGATAGGCGACACTGATAGGCAGCACTGATAGGCGACACTGATAGGCAGCACTGATAGGCGACACTGATAGGCAGCACTGATAGGCGACACTGATAGGCAGCACTGATAGGCAGCACTGATAGGCGACACTGATAGGCAGCACTGATAGGCGACACTGATAGGCAGCACTGATAGGCGACACTGATAGGCAGCACTGATAGGCGACACTGATAGGCAGCACTGATAGGCGACACTGATAGGCAGCACTGATAGGCGACACTGATAGGCAGCACTGATAGGCGACACTGATAGGCAGCACTGATAGGCGACACTGATAGGCAGCACTGATAGGCGACACTGATAGGCAGCACTGATAGGCGACACTGATAGGCAGCACTGATAGGCGACACTGATAGGCAGCACTGATAGGCGACACTGATAGGCAGCACTGATAGGCGACACTGATAGGCAGCACTGATAGGCGACACTGATAGGCAGCACTGATAGGCGACACTGATAGGCAGCACTGATAGGCGACACTGATAGGCAGCACTGATAGGTGGCACTGACTGGCATCACTGCTGGGCACTGGTGTGTGACACTGCAGAGTGGCACAGGTGTGTGACACTGCAGAGTGGCACAGGTGTGTGACACTGCAGAGTGGCACAGGTGGGTGCACTGCTGGGCACAGGTGGGCGGAGCTAGTGGGCGCACTGCTGGGCACAGGTGGGCGGAACTTGCGGGTGGCACTGCTGGGCACCGATCATCAGGGCACTGATCATCAGTGCCGATCCCCGCTCTGACAACTGCCGGTTCTCGGCAGTACTTTCCTCACGATCTGACAGCGTGAGGAAAGTGCAGCCGAGAACCGGCACTTGCATTTCCCTCTGATCAGCGTGTCATTGGACACCGCTGATCACGTGGTAAAAGGCCGCTGTGATTGGCCTTTTACCACATCACGTGATCAGCTGTGTCCATGGGACACAGTGATCACGGAGATCGCCGGGTGTGCGCCCCCTGGGGCGCGCAGGAGAGCGCGTTCTGGGAGGACGTTGGCCGGCCGCAGTGCAGCCGTCATTCGGCTATCTGCGGTCAGCAACTAGTTAAGGGACAGCTATGACCTACAACTGGGCTTCAGTACTTTTTTTTTTCACCAAATTGTTTTAGGTTACGAATAACTTTCATTTATCCTGATTTTGAAAGCGTTGGTTGTTTTTGTTCATATCACTGCAGTTGCCCTTGTACTTTGGTTAAAAGTCTGAAATCCCCATCTGCGGCCTGAGTTGAAAAATGTGTATATGCACAGTGAAGCATTCAGACACTTTCTGTGGCTTTTTATTTCCACAGTGGACTGCAAGGGACACGTGCTACCAAAGAGTAACAAGTATTGCAAGATACACCTCTAACTTAGCAGCAGTACAAAACCATGCTCCATTGCAATGCTTGCACAACATGTCCCATTGAAAAAAATTTTTATATATCTAATTAGGTTGAATATATGTTTTTTTAGCCTTTGTAAATAAAAAACGATCCGAAAACAACAGCTCTACAACACAATAAGTCTTCATGCATATCCATGGAAATATAGCAGTAGTAATGACAATGTCCAGTAACATCTTGGGGTGTAGAGGAGCCCCTTAATCTGCAGTATATATTTACCCCATACAAATAAAGTAACATTGATGATGATCATCAGACATATACATAGAAAAACATAAAATAGAATACAATAAATGAGACCTGGCCACAGTAATTGTTGCTGATGTCCTAGATGCAAATGGCGTCACGGGCATCAGCCGCAAACCAACAGCTATAGCCTCAGGACATAAAGGCTAAGCTGTAAACAGTGATGGACATAATGGTGCATGGCTAACAATGGAAACGAGTAATTGTATTTGACCTAGTATAGAAACCCCTAAACATATAAGATCATAGGTGTTAATAGCCATATAGATATGCAGTTTCCACTTGAAACCATGAGTAGGTACTTTGTTTTAAGATTCCAACGCGTTTCGTGGGACAGAGCCCGCTTCTTCAGGGAACAAAACACAAATTCCTACAGCAAGCAAAAACTCCTTGCTCCTACTGAATAATTAATGCACTTTTTCAAAAATAAATATGGGTGCATTTATTTTCCTTCCAAAAGGTGGAGTTAGTCTTAAATAGATATATAACATAATGCTGATGGAGGAAATGCAGGCAAGAGGAATGGATTCCAGGGACAAATTTACCACTGTGTAGTATATATGGATGAAAAAGACCCTAACCAAGAAAACTAGTGGGGTTTTAGAGGTACCAAACCATAACAATAATCATAAACAAAAATATAAGGACAGAATATAAAATTGAACACCTTTTTATTAGGTTAAAAAACCACCAACAGGTGGCGCATGATCATCAGACATACACATAGAAAAACATAAAATAGAATACAATAAATGAGATCTGAAACGTGTTGTGCGAGCTTCATTTACATATGCGTGGGCGACCATCGTTCTCTATTTGCACATGGGGATGGGGGCACTTTAAAAAAAAAAAAAAAAAATTCTTTACACTGTGCTTTTTCTTTTTTTTTCTTTTATTAAATTTTAAACATCATATAAAAGCTTCAGTTTGTGAGCTTCTAAGGTACATAACTCTCATATTTATGAAGATATAGTGCTGGAGCCAGGTCTGACAGGTTGGCCCTGCGTAGAGGCGGCTGCCAGTAGGGTCCAATTACACTGTATGCATGTGAACATTACCACAAACATTTACATGCATACAGCATAAACGCAGGTTTTTATCAGGTTTTAGTTTATGCAGCTGTGGGCCCATAGTGTACAATACTGCTGCGTTCAGATCCATATAAATTGGCATTCTTATGCAGCAAATAGTACACCCGTGTACATGAGTTCTTATTTAACAAATTCCCTAATATCTCTAATGCAAATCTTAAAATAAGATTATCTACAAATTCAAACAGCAATACGTTGATTGGACGTATATACAACACAACTCTTATTAATCTGGGAAATGGAAAGACCAGACTCGCTTGAAGAACACTCCAGGTTTATTACAAATTGTTATGCATGGGAGTGCTGGACAAGCCAGTTTGTAATTTAATTTTATTAACAATTACCTTTCCATTTCAGTCTGCAGCCACATTTTACTTTCTTAAACTGCCAAAAAATTCAGATTTCTTATTCTTGCATCCATGGCAACAGTCTTCTGCTTGAGGAAAGGATTTCCCAGAGTCCTCATCATCATATTAATATCATTGGCTCACAGCCACCCCTGGAAGTCTGCTCAGGCATAAAATTATGAGCATCCTGTTGCATGAAATGTGCCATGCTATCTGTAGGTCTTCTGTACCAAGAATTTTATTTTTGGCGATATAAGTACTCAACTATATGTCTAAAGGGATGCCAGAGTACTGCGTTTTTTCTGCAAGTGCAAAAGACTGGTCTTATATGATTTTACTAAAGGTATTTTCTCAAAGTTGGCATTCAATATATAGAAATAGTTATCACATGTACTAGAATGGCTTCAGTAACTGCAATGGAAAAGTATTGAAAGCACTCCAGCACTAAAGTTGCCCTAACTCCTTCCCATTTATATACACTGCTCATAAAAATTAAAGGAACACTTTGAAAACATATCAGATCTCAATGGGGAAAAATGTGTTGGAAATCTATACTGATATGAACTGGGTAATGTGTTAGGAATGTAAGGATGCCCCATTGTTTGATGGAAATGAAAATGATCAATCCTACAGAGGACTGAATTCAAAGACACTCCGAAAATCAAAGTGAAAAAATGATGCAGCAGGCTAGTCCATTTTGCTGAAATTTCATTGCAGCAACTCAAAATGGTACTCAGTATGGCCCCCACGTGCTTGTATGCATGCCTGACAACGTCAGGGCATGCTCCTAATGAAACAACAGATGGTGTCCTGAGGTATTTTCTCCCAGATCTGGACCAGGGCATCACTGAGCTCCTGGACAGTCTGAGGTGCAACCTGGTGGCGTCAGATGGGCCGAAACATGATATCCCAGAGGTGTTATATTGGATTTAGATCAGGCGAGCTTGGGGGCCATTGAATGGTATCAACTCCTTCATCCTCCAGGAACTGCCTGCATACTCTCGCAACATGAGGCCGGGCATTGTTCCAAAGATTTTATCCCGATACCTAATGGCAGTCAGGGTGCCATTGTCTAGCCCAGGGGTGGGCAAACTTTTTGACTTGAGGGCCGCAATGGGTTCATATATTGGACCCGGGGGCCGGACCAAGAGTAGATGAATGATGTGTATGTGTCATCCATAGTAAGTATAGTAATATTCCCGCATAGCATAGTAATTCATCCCCCATATAGTAATTCATCCCCCATAAAGTAATTCATCCCCCATATAGTAATTCATCCCCCATATAGTAATTCAGCCCCCATATAGTAATTCAGCCCCCATATAGTAATTCAGCCCCCATATTAATTCATCCCCCATATTAAGTCCCCAAGTCCCCCCTGTGTCAATTCACTTACCTTTGCTCCGCGCGTTCCTCTCGCCGTGTTCCCGTGCCGTTCCGGTGTAGCATGAAAAACTGTCTCCTATGAGGATGTCCCCCTCGACGTATCTGCGCATGTGCCAGTTTCAGGCATTAGCAGCCGATCGGCGATCTCCGGCACATGCGCAGATACGTCAAGGGGGACAGATCCTCATAGGAGACAGATTTTCATGCTACACCGGTCTTCAGGGCGGACTGTGAGAGGAGCCTAGCGGGAGCCTAGCTCCGCGGGCCGGATTAAAAGGTCCGCCGGGCCGTATACGGCCCGCGGGCCGTAGTTTGCCCATTGCGGGTCTAGCCTGTAGAGGTCTGTGCATCCCTCCATGGATATGCCTCTCCAGACCATCACTGACCCACTACCAAACCGGTCACGCTGAAGATTACAGGCAGCATATTGTTCTCCACATCTTCTCCAGACTATTTTACATATGTCACATGTGCTCACGGTGAACCTGCTCTCATCTGTGAAAAGCGCAGGGCGCCAGTGGCGGGCCTGTCAATTCTGGTGTTCAATGGCAAATACCACTCGAGGTCTATGGTGCCAGGCAGTGAGCACAGGGCCCACTAGAGGACCTCAGGCCACCCTCATGAAGTTTGTTTCTGATTGTTTGGTCAGAGACATTCACACCAGTGGCCTGCTGGAGGTCATTTGGTGGGGCTCTGGCAGTGCTCATCCTGTTCCTCCTTGCACAAAGGAGCAGATACCGGTCCTGCTGATGGGTTAAGGACCTTCTACGGCCCTGCCCAGCTCTCCTAGGGGGGGCTGCAGCAGTGGTAACCTGTTACATGTTCCATCCTAGTTTGGGTGGAACATGTTCCCAAAGGTGAATTTATCCCTTAAAAGTCTCCATAGATAGTCATTTTTGCACAGAAAAGGCACCAAACATTGGTGTTTGCTGATCAATTTAGCTATGCTTAGTGGAGTGCTTCTTTAAGAACTGGATTTCTAAAAGAGACATATACATATGGAGGACATGGATCTGGTCTCTAAAGGGTAGTGTAAACTTACTCAAATGAGGATCCTGTTGTTCCTTATGGGGAGGAGGGGGGGGGGGGTTGATGGCATCTGCTATGTGTTCCCACAGAATTATAAAGAAAATTTCCAAAAGTGGTAAATATCCATAGTGCAACTAACCAGATTCTTTATATCCTCATCCCATTGGCTGGAATTTGAAGCCTAGTTGAATGCTTTGATCTTCCACTCCTTGTTTTTCTTGATGGCATGTACTGATTGTAGCCAGTTTAAAAATTGAGATTTATAGATCTAATTTTTTTTCTTTCTTTTTCTTTCTTCAGATCACCTCTGGGTGTTGTTTCCTGATGTGTGTATGGTAATTGCATCAGAGATTGCCGTGGATGTTGTAAAACATGCCTTTATAACCAAGTTTAATGACATCACTGCAGATGTACGTATTCAACACATTTTCTTCCTTCACAGGTTCTTAAAAAGAAGAGCTGCCAGTGCCAACTGTTTTTTTTTTTTTTTTTTTAAAGGGTGCAGGCTGTGGGGCTGTCGTCCTAGTGCTTGTTTTACTATTGGATGGTTCATAAAATGAATGTACATATCGGGCATCCTCATGCTTTACTGATTACATGCTTATCTCAGGTCATTGACTTGATTTGCCAAGTAATGAGAGCAGAATGAGGAAGGCAGTCTGGAATCATGCACATTCAATAGGAAGGAAGCTTTTCCAATATCTAATCTGACTTGTTCCCTTTAAATGCTGTTGCTTTTTCTGAAAATGCTAGTTACCTGGCTCTAATGTAAATTGATTAACATACAGATAAAACCTTCTGTCTTTTCCTTGTCTGAGAAGGCTATCCCAACCTGCTCAGTGCACTTGAAAATTTCCTTTGCAAAGATTCCTCGGAGTATGAGCATCCAGGTTCCTGTGCCTGTGATCCCCTGTTCCAGTTTTGATACCCATTTATGACTGTCTGATTCTCAACAATCCTTGTTATCCACCTGCCCTGATCTTTTGCCCTTTTTGACCCTGCGCTTTCTGCCCTGCTGTCAGCTGTTGCCACTCCAATTGTAACCAAGGACCACAGGCTGGGAGCTTTAGGCCCATTATTCCTATGCAGGGTCTCTGATAAACGCTGGGCTGTTCCTTAGACCCTGTGTCACTATCCTTAGGGCCTTTAAATGCCTGGAAACATGGGAGTCCAGTATCTCATTGACACAGTGGTGTTAGCCCTGCTAAAGGTCTACCCTTCCAGACCACAGAACACCTCCTCTGTATAGTTTGGGAAGGAGGAGATGGACTGAAATTCCATTTTAATGTTTCCCAAGGTCTTGAAATCAGTAAAAAATATAATAGATTACATTTAGATATATGGTCATATGTGTTAAAATGTTGCATGTTAGTGTCTATTAATTTTCACAACAGAGTCACTTAACATTCACCAAGGATTCACAAATTTTACAATCAAATCCAAATTATTTGTAAATCTTGGTTAAAAGCTTTGTGAATCTTGTATACAATAAAATGTATAAATCAACCCTGTTTTTGGTTTGATGATTTTCAGACTTTCAGTCACTGAAAGACAAGCTGTATCAACTGCATCAAACATTTATTTTATCATAGTTTCAGCTCATTCTAGCTTTTCTTCCATCTTCTCTGCACCTGTTAGTGAAGGTCAGAAGATTTGTTAGAATTATTGGAAAGCATTGCATGAATATGAATGTTGACTTGTTTTAAAAGTCCACTCATCTTCACAGACTAATACTGAGCAAACCTGTTCCCTGGTGACTTGATGTTCTGTGATGTCCTAGATTAGGGAAAGTCTCCCTCACAGCACAGATGTTCTCTGCAGAATATTATTATTTAAGAGCACAAGAGATGCAACAAACGTATATAACTGGAATAATGCTCACATATAAAGCCTCAATGTAAATCATTCTGAAATTGTAGTTATAGTCTTTTACTGCCAATAAATGTCTGTGACGAGATTTGCCCTCTCTGTTGGTTCTGGTGATCATTGTCTGCAGTACGGAAAGTGTTGGGACATCCAAATTTTTGAGTTGACCTAGAACAAGGAAGCACGAGGAAATCTTCCAATGAGGAAACCTCATCTAATGGCAACTGTGTGGGGATAGCCCCTCACTTTGGAGAGATATCCTCTTCCTACTGTTTGTTTGGGACAGAAAATAAAGGGAAATTCCTAATAGAATACATTCAGATGAAAATGTTCTTAATCATTCCCTACTCTATACAAAACTAAAAAAACAAAAAACGTTTACATCAACTTTAACATGCAATACTGGAGGAGAATGGTAAAAGTTACTCTTGTTTTTGTTATAGCCCAATACTAAAGTATTATTCATTACTTAGAACAGCATATTGGTCTTAGTCTTTGTTGAATTGATATTAAAGGCAATTAAACAAAAAACAAACATGTCGTACTTAGCTGCTCTGTGCAGTGGTTTTGCACAGAGCAGCTCTGCTCCTCCTCTACTTGGGCCCCTCGCTGGCTCTCCTGGCCCTTCCCTCAGCTTGCTATGAGGGCACCAAGCAGGCTCGCTCCTGAGTTGCTGCTCTGCGTGTCCATTCACACACAGAGCCGTGGCTTGGCCCTTCCACTCTCTCTCCTCATTGGCTTAATGGCTGTGATTGACAGCAACGGGAGCCAATGGCTCTCATGCACATCAGTGTATCATGATGGGCTCAGGTAAGTATGGGGGGGTGTGGCTACTGCACACAGAAGGTTTTTTGCCTTCATGCATAGAACGCATAAAACCTTGAGCCTTTACAACCACTTTAAAGAGGTTTATACTTTCCAGAAGGGATTCCCCAGCACAGCTTCTTCTGCCTTAGAAATCCCTAATGGTCTGGCAACTATGCAAGTGCACAAGTGTAAACCTAGCCTAAAATAATGGTTGTTTTTATTGATGTTTCATTTTAAGTGGCAGATTTTAAGTATGGTACTGTGAATTCTAGAGTGGCCTGAAGCCTTCTAGATTACATCTTCTATTTGTATAGTTTAGGGCCTGAAATGGGTTTTTTTAATGACTTGCCATGCATATATTTCCTGAAGGTGTACAGTGAATACAGAGCCAGTCTTGCCTTTGAACTTGTGAGCAGCCGCCAGAAAAACGTAAGTGCTGGATATGTCTGTTAATGCAAAATTTATGAACTTGTTACTGTTTCAGTATTAACCTTTTTCTATGTAGAACACATATTCATTGTTCTAATTAGTCCAAATCTATTCAGACACAGAACTTCAGCCTATTCGATAAGCCTCTTTTCACTTGGCAGTTAGTCTCTGACAGGTTAGTTGCTCACCTACAGCCTGTGAGATGCAGAGTGTTACAGGTATCCTTTATGAACAGAAAAGCATAGGGTGTACAGAAGGAATACTGATGTGCTAATATGAACATCCATGCTTAATTTACACAGATTCTGCTCTGTTGCTATATTAAAATCCTTTGAATTGTTAATTTTTTTACCTGTGTAGTTGGCTAAACTTGAATGCTGGAGAGAGGTAAATACAGATGTATGACTACTGTCCAAGCATTACAGTTTTAGGCTACGTTCACCCTAGCCGTGTTTTCAAGCGGTAGAAAGTCGTTTGGGAAGCGTTTTTACCGCTTCCCAAATGCCTCGGACAATTCTGCCCATTGCAGCACATGGTGCTGTTTGAACGGTAGCGGCACGGCAATACGGACGCCTCTGATCGTGTCAGGAGACGTTGAAGCCTCCTATTCTAGTCTATGGTGCCGCTCCGCAAATGCCCGGTTGGCGTTTGCGGTGCAGTTGCGAGTCGTTTGCGGAGCGGTAACACCATCCAACCTTCATTATAGGCGTTTGTGGGGCGTTTTTAACGCTCGACAAATGCCTAGCAACCGCCGCTGAACCGCGCATGCGGCGCGTTAAAAACGTTCCGCAAACGCCAGACCGACACTTGCCAAACGCTATAGGGGCGTTTGGCAAGAGTTGGTAAAACAGTCAAGTGTGAACGAGCCCTTAGTGTGTAGGCACTTTCAGGTCTTGAAAAATGGCCTCAAGCTGACCACTCTTGGAGCGATTATGAGTGCAAAGCTTTAAGGAGTAAGAAATGTACAAATGTCCTTTTCAGGGACGCGGCGGCTAGATTTACAGGTAGCATTTAGTTGTAAATCCTGCTCCTAGCATTCAAACATGTAGTTATTGCCCACAACAGTGCTAAGGTGAGAAGTATCAAACTATAAACCTTTGTATTCTTTGAATTGGGTTTACAGTATTTCTCTCAGTGGTACAACTGAGGACAGCTGCAAGCTCAAGTTAGCTTACGTTCTAGTAATAACTGAAATCTTTTGACTCCTATAAATATATAGAATATAAATACTGACTTTTTAGAGCAGCCATACTGTCAACCAGGGTTCCTCAAAAGCTTACTGGGGCTCCTTAAGCTATGTCTGATTGGCCTCCCATCTCCCATGGTACCTGAATAGTTTTAGGACCAAAGCCACTTTGCAGAGCCAATGCTATGACACGAATGATCTTTTCAGCTGTCTGCAACAGGGACAATCTTCCCACTGGCCTCCAATGTAAATGGCATTTTTTTCCCACTGACCACCAGCGTAAGGGGCATTCTTCACACTGGCCACTAATGTAAGGAATTTTTTTTTTCACTGACCATCAATGTAAGGGGCATTCTTTACACTGGACACCAGTGTAAGGGACATTTTTTTCAATGACCACCATGGTTAGGGGCTTTTTTTTCCCACTGGCCACCAATGTAAGGGGCATTCTTCACACTGGCCACTAATGTAAAGAATATTTTTTCACTGACCATCAATGTAAGGGGCATTCTCTACACTGGACACCAGTGTAAGGGACATATTTCTCAATGACCACCATTGTTAGGGGATTTTTTTTTCCCACTGGCCACCAATGTAAGGGGAATTCTTCACACTGGCCACCCATGTGAGGGACAGTCTTCCCAATGTTCACCATTGTAGGGGCATTTTTTTTTCCCACTGGCTACCAATTTGGTTTTAGCAGGGTTTCCCCAAGACTTTATAATTATTTAGAGTTCCTCTGAAGTAAAAAGGTTGAGAATGGCGTATAAATTAGACTAATCATAAAATAGATTTTACATATTAACCAAATAATTACTAAACAATTGAAAAAAAGCTGTGGCTTTTAAAAGGTAATGTATTTGCACATACTAGAAAACAACCTTATAACCTGTGCTTGGGTATAAATTATTGCGTGACTGTGTGCACCAAAATATATTCGTATACCTCAATAAGCGACTCAAAAATAAACCAAGTGAACATCCAAAAAAAATGTATTAAATCAAAAGCATAAATAAATAGTCAACAGAAGGCTGCTGCTACTACATAGGATGCTGACCCTCATAAAACTAATCAATGATGGTAGTTAAGCACTACCTAATCATAAATTCACAAACATATACATAGTGTCTTATTATGCAATAACTCTTCTCAAAGTCCATAAACTGTGCATAACCGTGAAATCTTTTAAACTGTGTCTGTGCAGGATTCTTCTTAAAAGTGCTACAAACAGACTGTGCTCCCCACTGGTGATCTCCCCACTCACCGACTTGATTGGACTCTTAGGTTTAGAGAACAGCTTAGTGGGAAGGTCCCGGTATAGCTGGTACTTGTAGTCCTCCTTCTTCATGTGGATATACTCCTTATTCATGGAGATGATCGATTTCAGTGGTCATAAGATTTAGGTACTCCTAGGGAATGAAGAAAGTGGCCAAATAGCATAAGTTCTGTTTATTTAAAATTAACAAAATAAATGCATTAAACTCACGTGATCAGAAATACCAAACATTAAAAAAACTGTCAAACCGGAAGCGGCGCACCAGCGAAACGCATCACGAGAGCCATAGTGATGTTTCCGGTCGGTGGAGTGCATGCTAGTGCGCCGTTTCCAGTTTGACAGGTTTTATGTTTGGTATTTCTTTTTATCATGTGAGTGCAATACATTTATTTTATTTGGTAATTTTAAATATATGGAATTGCGCTATTTGGCCATTTTCTTTATTCCCTATGAGCACCTGAATCTTATGATCACTGAAATCGATCATCTCGTGAATAAGTACATCCACATCAAGTAGGACTACAAGTACCAGCTATACCAGGACCTTCCTACTAAGCTCACCAGATGCTTATCTAAACCTAAGAGTCCACTCAAGTCGGTGAGTGAGGGGGATCACCGGTGGGGAGCACTGTGTGTGTGTGTGTGTGTGTGTGTGTGTGTGTGTGTTAGCACTTTTAAGAAGAATACAGCACAGACACAGTTTAAGGGACAGTTCACACTACAAAAATGCACTCTGATATGTTTTTGCATACAGTTCACACCACATGTAGTTTTGGTGCATTTTTGATGCAGTTTGCCATGTTCCAGTATGGTTCTGTGCAGAAAAAATGCAACATGTTCTACTTTTTTTTTTTTTTTCTGCATCGGAATTGGACTGGAACTGCCTGCACTAGTGTGAACCAGGGCCATCGGAATACATGGAAAACACTGTGCATGCATTTTCAATGCAGAAATAATGCACACTGAGCTGCTTCTAATGTGAACTAGCCCTAAAAGATTTCACGGTTATGCACAGTTTATGGACTTTGAGAAGAGTTATTGCATAATAAGACACTATGTATATGTTTGTGAATTTATGATTAGGCAGCGCTTAACTATCATCATTTAGTTTAATGTATTTGTACATGTACATAGTGCCAGCGGTAATTTCCCATTACATACTCTGCTTCTTGCTAAGCAGTACTGTATGTTGATTGCACTTTGCTGTGCCTCAAATCCCTATGAAACTCTTAGTTGTAAGTTCTGGCTGAAAACAACTCTTTGTTGCTGCCTATAACGTGAATATATCACGTAGAATACTTAGCAGGTATACAGATTAGTCAATATGTGGAGAATGTACAAATCTTTATCTGGTTAACCGGTGGCACTGTCCAGGTAACCCCTAAGCTGCAGCAGGAACCTTTAGCCACTGAGCCTGAGGCCGGAGTTTGGTATTAGAAGAAAAAAAAAAAAAAATGTTTAAATGTCATTTTTTACATAAACACAACACAAAAAAATGTTAAGGTTTAGGTCCCCTTTAAAATCAATATTCCCAATACGTACTGTGTTTCTCACTTTCATAGGAGATACTTGAATCTTTTTTTTTTCCATTATAAATTTTTATTTGGTTTTACAAATATAGTTACAACGAAAAAAAACAAAAACAAAATAGAGTGAAAAGCTACACAATATCACAGTACAGGTGTTGCTGTAAAGTTTAGCAAAAAAGGAATTATTGAATAATTCCTAACAGTCCTACTAGTTCCACAAAATAAATTTATAGTATCCAAAAAAAAAGCTTAAACATAATATCTTGGGTTACAGTTCTGAACCAGTCAGACCGGGGTTTCCAAGCTTTGTCAAATTTAGTAATTCTATCGTTTAGGTAAGCTAAAGATTTCTCATAGTTGAAGTGGGTCTGGACTAGCTCAATGACTTCTTTTAGAGAAGGGGCAAAGTCTTTTTTCCAGTGTCTAGTAATGGTAAGTCTTGATGCTAGAAGAATATGTGTCACTAAGCGTCGATAATTGATCAGATATGTATTTATATTTAAAATGGCTAGGGCAGGATCTGGTTGTTTTAATATCCCAGTTATTTCCGATATCATGTGGAAGACTTTCTAGCAATAGCTTCTAATATTTTACATGTCCATAATATATATAATAGAGTAGCAATCTGACCTCAGTTTCCCCAACATTGAGGACTATGTTTTGAGAATTTGGCCATTTGGTAAGGAGTTAGACACCATCTTGTGGAAATTTTGTGCGTTGGGTCCCAAAGGTTAACACATCTAGTAGCTGAAAACACATTCCCGAATGCACATTCCCACTGCTCATTAGAGATTTCAGTCTCTAAGTCTTTTTCCCACTTGATCAAGGGAGTAGTCTTTTTAAATTCTGATTTACATTGTAGAAGGTTATAAAATAGGGTTAAGCCACCTGATTTAGGAGTTGTGGAGCTATAGAACTGTAAAGATACTTTGGGTATATATATTGTTTTTACTGGATGTTTCAATAGGCAACGACTGATGTGTGTATAGGTTGATTTTTCAGAAGGGCGGAGGTTAAACTCTTTCATAAGGAATTAAATTTTTGATATCGTTTGTAACACAAATATCTTGTATTGTGCATATGCCATTATGTTTCCAATTAAAGATATCTATGCTAGGCATTACAACTTCTAAGGCTGTTATAGGTATAGAAAGAGGACTTATTTGGAGAGGATCTATAGGCATGGAGCTTAAGTATTCCAGGCTTCAATTGAGGCTTGTATAGTTGGTGGTGTTTTACTAGTGGGAATCCTTTGCCACAAGCTCACTAGTAGTATGGTGCTTAAATCTGTTGTAGAGGCTAGATTTTTTTCATTGTCACCCCACTTTGTATCATCTTCCATTATAAACCAATGTTTAAGTTGGTCTAATAATGATGCTTTGTGATAGTCCCTAATGTCAACAAATCCCATTCCTCCTATTTTTTTTTGTGTTTGATTAATATATTATGTGAGCTTTCTAGGTCACATTTTTTTAAGCATAGATTGTAATTTTGTTAGATATGGAGATTTAATTGGGATTAGAATTGATCTAAATAGATATAAAATCTGTGGCAATATGAACATTTTAAATGCGGCCAGTCTTCCCGACCAAGATAGTTCATGTTTAGCCATTTGATTAAGGTGGGTTTGAATTTTTGGAGTGAATTTAGAATAATTGAGAGTTCCTAGGTCTAGTTCCGAGGTTTTGTTTGTCAACAATATTCCAAGATGAGGAATGGCTTCATTTTCCCAGATGTAGGGAAATTTTGTTTTGGAGGTGCATTTTTAGAATGTGACCTACACCTAGATTTAGGATATTAGATTTGGATGCATTAATTTTATATTATGAAATATTACTGAATTGTATGAGAGTTTGTTGAATTGCTGCTAAAGATGTAGAGGGATTAGTTAGTATTAAAATGATGTCATCTGCAAAGAGCGTTATTTTGTGGTGGTTTTTACCTATATAGAAGCCATGTATATCTGGATTGTGTCTTCTAGTGTCAGCAAGAGGTTCAATTTATCAATTAGTGGAGACAATGGGCATCCTTGTCTGGTACCTGTCATAATTAAGAATGGTTTGGATAGCATGTTAGATACATAGACTTGGGCGGAAGGATTTGAGTAAAGTGCTGAAATAGCATTAATAATAATTCCTGAAAATCCAAATGTATGCAGTACTTAGAACATGTATGTCTAGTGTATCCTATCAAAAGCCTTTTCGGCGTCCAGAACAAGTAATAAGGAAGGAATTTTATGTGAGTCTGCGTAATGCATTATGCTGATTAGTCTCCAGGTTGCGTCAGATAAGATACTTGAATCTTTTTTGGATATAAGATGTCAGTTTGCCTGATTTCTTTGTTAAAAAATAGGCTGAAATCAAAGTTTATCAACTTTATGTATATTAGCATAAGCAGAGTGAGATGCCTTCAGAGTTGTATTCATCATCATTCATATGTATTTCCACTTTGTCACTTGAAATAATATATAAACTTCACAAGGTTACACCGTTCAGACTTATGCCTCTTTATTTTGTTCCAGGCTTACACTGACTATAGTGATTCTGTCTCCAGGCGTATGGGCTTTATTCCTCTCCCTCTTGCAGTGCTTGTAAGTATTAATATGTGAGACTGGTGTGTTGTACAAAGACCAGACAGCAATCATTAGCATGCATTTAAATTAAATTTAACATGCCACGAGCAAAAGAAAACACGAGATATAACAGGTCTGAAACAAGAAGATGGGAGTGCAATCACTCAGGCAGACTTGTGTAAGGTTTCATTAGGTAGAACTCCAGAGTTTTGTTACCGCCTGTGGCAAATCGCACGCTAATAAGTAGCCTGGGCATTCATTTGTGTCTACAATGTCTGTACATTTAATTACATTAGACACCTAATTAGCTTCTGCTGCAATAATTAGAGCCTAAACATATATAAATATTAATTATGCCCTGGACTACATTCATTAGGATGCAAACACACTTTGTTTGAAGGGGGGCGGGGGGGGGGGGGGCACCTCAAGCTTATGCAATAAGACATTGATAGCATAGCCCTTAATCCCATTTTAGTGTACCAAGGTCAGGTCAGTGAAAGATGATTTCTAATTGTCTGCTCTGGATTACTGCACTCTGCTTATTGCTTTTTGCCTTCTTAAAGTAAACCAAGTATGGAGAATGAACATTTTGAAATACTTTTGTTTGATGTGTTGCTTTTATGTGTTACTTATTACATATTTTCTATTGGAACCTCGGCATCTGTTTTTTCTTTTTTCCTAACAGTCATGCTGTACATACTTGTCCCTTCATTTTCTCTGACATAGTTACTCATTAACTACTTAATATTAACTCGACATAGCTGATTAGAGTGCAGTGAACCATACATATCATCCCTTCTTCCAAGGAGGCCACAGCCTGATATTACTACAACAAACCTAAAGGCACGTACACCAGGGTTGATGGGTCAGATGCCAGGATATCTTCCAGTATGTTTTTAAGCTGTCAGAGAAAATCAGAGTATCCAGAAACACCCACACAAGCATAGGAAAAACAAACTCAATTTTGGGAACCAAGGTGCTGTTAGACAAAAGTGCTAATACCATGCCACAGTGCAGTTTTCATAACGTTTTATTGTTGATTTGATAAGTAGATGACAGATTTTGTATGTGCAGTAAAAATAAAATGAAGGTGTTTTTCTCTTTCCAGTTAATCAGAGTGGTTACCAGCTCAGTTAAGGTGCAAGGTGTCCTGGCATACGCCTGTGTGGTTCTCTTTTACTTTGGGTAAGCATTTCATCATACTTTTGCTAGTAAACATACTTGTTTAAAGGGTTTAATGAGCTGTCTTTAGCTGACTGAGCCTCTCAATGTTTTCTTATAAGCTATGCTTACCTAAACCCTGGTTCCACTGAGATTTTCACTGTCAACTACCAAATCCTTCCATTCCCATACACACGTGTAGCAAATGGTCCGGTAATTTGTTAACAGGCTTGTGGACCGGATTACCATTTAGTAGTATGGAGTTAGGGGTTTGCATTTTTAGAGGGTGAATTGTATGAACTGGGAAGCTTGTTGTGCAGTGCACCCTGCCATGCAGTGTTGTGCCTTGCAGCCTACACAACAAAGATCACCCTTCTGGTAAGCATGACCATTCTGGTTGGTTTGCTAAAGATAGTGCACTGGTAGTAACATTTAACTAGGGAAAAACAGCACCAGTCAGTTGTTTCCATTTAACATAGTGCTTAGGCCCCAGTATGTGGGCAAACATGGAGGTTTTCTGTCAGTTCTTTAGTATTTCATGCAAAGTTTCTGAAAGATTTCATAATGGACATGCTTCTCCTAGTGTTCTTAGATCACAAAAACTGTCTCAGTGGGTTTTCTTTAAACTTTAGATAAACATTGTTTGCTTTGTAATGTGAATGCTTTGTGGCTGGCATTCTTCTGCTTGATTCATTAATCATCGACTTAGATTAAGCATAAATACATATTTTATATCTGCTATGCATATGGTTGTTCCAAGCTATTGACTCTCCCATTCATAATGCTACAGAGTGTATACAGGGAGTAAAGGAATTTTGTATAAAAACAGATTGTGCTACCATATTTAAAAATACCTTCATCCAAGGGGCAGCTCCACTGGAGTTTTTAGTGGAGAGTTTTTATTTCACTTTGGACCACTTTACTATAACTATTAATGGTGCTGTACCCTAGAAGGCACGGTCTAGCACTGCTGACTGTTGAACTCTCATTATCTGCTTCCCCTTTCGGCTGTTCATTTATTTTGCATTACAGAATTATGCATATTGGTCCATATTGTGAATGTGAAAAAAATGTCTACCTAGTTCATTGTAAAAATAAAAACCGTTTTGCATTCATCCCTTTGCTATAAATAAAATCTGATGCAAATACCTGGCTTTAGAAGTCCCAAAATAATTTGTAGTTGACCTGTGTTTGAAAGGACCCATGGTTTTAAAGAATAGATCTAAACAAGCATCATAATGAAGTCTAAGGACATATCAAAACAAGTCCTGGTTAAGGGTCTAGAGAAGCACCGATCAGCGTGCATTAAAAAATAGGCCCAAATTCTGATTAGTCTCACAAGCGCCATTAAACCAGTTAATAAAAATGGAAAGCCCATAAGACATCCATGCCTACAGAAGGCTGAAAGCCAAAGCTTAGTGTCCTGGTAAGGAGGACATTAATCAGAGAAGTGACCAAAAACTCAATGCTACCTTGAGCTAAAAGAGCTGGGGAGGCATATGGCTGAGTTGAGAGAGCCATCCACAGGTCCATTACTACCTGGAATTTATTGAAGGATTAAAAAAAGACATTTTGGTGAAAACCCTCTATGAATTCCTTGTGAACTTTGTTGACAGTCAAGTGGGAGTTTCATGAGACCAAAATTAAACCTTTTAATATTTGTAAAACACCATCCAATGCTGTTCTTCACTCTGAAAACACCATACCTACTATGAGATGTAGTCCTGAAAGAAAACTTTTTTCAGCCTGCATTCACGTCGGAGCACAGCATATTCCTATTCATATTTCAAGCATTTTTTTTCAGCATATTACAGGCATTTTTGCACATATATTAAGCTTCAGGCGTTTTTCTTGGCCTGGGCAAGGGGTGGAGAGCATTTCCTTAGGTGTAAAAGTATTGCGTATTACAGGCATTCCCATTAAAGTCTATGGGATCAAAAACACCTGAAAACACTCAGTAAAAAGCTTGTGTATGGCTGAGTGTACAAGTGAATAGGCACAATTGGAAAGAATGAGATTATGCATTGTTGAGTATAGGGAAACAAGCAGTAAATGCTCAGGTATGAATGGTGGCTTATTCTGCAGGAGGCTTAAAACTGGAAAAACATACCCTCCAGCATGGCGGTGACAAACAGCCAAAGCTATAACTACCCTTTGCTTTGACATCCTCACTAAGAAAAAAAAGATTTAAAAAAATTTCCAAGGGGCAATAATGAAAACAATAATTTTTTTTTCTCCCCGTTTTTGACTCCACAGTTTCAAGGTGGTCAAGATGTAATTTTAATACGTTTACCAAAAAAACAATCGGGAAGAAGTCACACAAAATACAAACTTTTGAAGAACCAAATCAGATTTTCTTAACAGCATTGTTAATGCGTGTCCAAACACAGAAAAAAAATTGCAGTTCTGACATTTCCACCTCGACGCATAATGATTAACTCCACCACTGCCTTTTCAGATTAAGGTGTCAAATACCTGTCCACAGTTTTCATAATGCCCATCACATTAGGACTGGCAGGGTCTTGTGGTGTGGTGTAGTGTCTCTTTTGGGATGACATCTGTGGTGGAGAGGAGGATAATGGTTGGGCAACTTTTGATGCTGGCTTGTTGAGTAGCTTCAAACTGTGGGTGACTGCAAGGTGAAAGCTTTCAGGAACCCTGGTTTCTTGTTCAGTAGGCCACAGTACTTCTTGTACACCAGCCAGGAATTTGTGATTCACAAGTCAAGGATGTATCCTAACAGTGGGAAGTACAGTCGTTTTTACTTGGCTAGGGTCTTGTACTTTGTGTACAAGCATGTCTGAAAGATTGAAGCCTCCCATATGTTGATTGTACTGCCAAACTACTGCTGATTTAGGCCTTTGCTTTTAATTCACACTGGAATACCTACCATTGTACAATGAAGGAAATAAGTATTTGATCCCCTCCTGATTTTGAATGATTGCCCACTCACAAAGAAATGATCAGTCTAAAAATCGAATGGTAGGTGTATTGTAACACTGAGAGACAGAATATAGCAACACAAAATTCAAAAGAAATGCATGTCTTCCAAATGATGCACTGATTTGCATGTTCATGAGGGAAATAAGTATTTGATCCCCTTCACAAAACATGACTTAGTACTTGGTGGAAAATCCCTTGTTGGCAATCACAGAGGTCAGACGTTTCCTGAAGTTGGCCACCAGGTTTGCACACATCTCAGGAGGGATTTTGGCCCACTCCTCTTGGCAGATCCTCTTCAAGTCATTAAGGTTTGGTGGCTGATGTTTGGCAACTCGATCTTTCAGCTCACTCCACAGATTTTCAATCTGATTAAGGTCTGGAGACTGGATAGACCACTCCAGGACCTTAACAGGCTTCTTCTTGAGCCACTCCTTTGTTGCCTTGGCCGTGTGTTTTGGGTCATTGTCATGCTGGAACACCCATCCACGACCCATTTTCAATGCCCTGGCTGAGGGAAGAAGGTTCTCACCCAAGATTTGATGGTACATTGCCCCGTCCATCTTCCCTTTTGATGTGGTGCAGTTGTCCTGTCCCCTTAGCAGAAAAACACCCCCAAAGCAGAATGTTTCCACCACCATGTTTGACAGTTGGGATGGTGTTTTTGGGGTCATAAGCAGCATTCCTCCTCCTCCAAACATGTAGAGTTGAGTTTATGCCAAAGAGCTCGATTTTGGTCTCATCTGACCACAACACTTTCAACCAGTCCTCCACTGCATCATTCAGATGTTCAGTGGCAAACTTCAGATGGGCCTGGACATGTGCTTTCTTGAGCTGAGGGGCCTTGCAGGCACTGCAGGATTTAAGTCCTTATTGGCGTAGTGTGTTACCAATTGTTTTCTTGGTGACTGTGGTCCCAGCTGTCTGGAGATCATCGACAAGATCCTCACATATAGTTCTGGAATGATTCCACACTGTTCTCATGATCATTGACACTCCACGAGGTGAGATCTTGCATGGTGCACCAGACCTAAGGAGACTGACAGTTGTTTTGTGTTTCTTCCTTTTGCGAATGATTGCACCAACTGTTGTCACCTTCTCACCAAGCTGCTTGACGATAGTTTTGTAGCCTAGTCCAGCCTTGTGTAGGTCTATAATCTTGTCCCTGACATCCTTGGACAGCTCTTTGGTCTTTGCTATGGTGGAGAGTTTGGAATCTGATTGTTTCATTGCTTCTGTGGACAGGTGTCTTTTATACAGGTAACAGAATGAGATTAGCAGCACTCCATTTAGAAGATTGCTTCTAATCTCAGCTTGTTACTTGTATGAAAGACACCTGGTAGCCAGAAATCCTGCTGAATGATAGGGGATCAAATACTTATTTCCCTCATGAACATGCAAATCATTGCATAATTTGTTAGACATGCATTTCTTTTGAATTTTTTGTTGCTATTCTATCTCTGTGTTACAATACACATGCCATTTGATTTTTAGACTGATCATTTTTTTGTGAGTGGGCAAACATTCAAAATCAGCAGGGGATCAAATACTTATTTTCTTCACTGTAGGTTCAGTTCACTACTGGTCTGTTCTTTTTATTGCCATTCAAGCTCTGATGAAGGGGGCACTTCGCCCCCCGAAACGCATTGGCTACTTCTGAATCTATACCCCTGACCTTCAATGGAATAAAGTTGTATCTGGTCTTCTTAACAGTGGTGTGGCTCTTCAATTTCAACTTTTCTTACAATATGTTGATTGTAGGCAGGGATGAGCGATGGGCAAGAGATGACAATCTTTGCAGGGGCCTCCTTTGCTCCATGGTTTGACAGCTGAAAGAAACATCATCCCAATAGACATTGCTCAGAAGGTTGACACATTTGTCATAACATTTAACTCTGATCACCCCTTTAGCTGACCTGTAATTAGCAGCTTCACAAGTTAACATGAAGGTAGCTCCATCAGTGCTGTTTGATCGAACCGTGCCGGTGTACTTGACACCCAAGTTTTGCACACAGTTCTGTAACAAGTTAAAACTGGTGATATTAACCATATTTACTGTCCTTTGAAAGCTTGTCAGAAATGGT